CATTGCCGAGTTCATTCTGATGTATTAGCCCTGTGGTTCAGATCCTCCTGCTCTACTCTTCCTGACTATTTACTGTATCAGTGTCAAAAGGTGATGGAGGGATCCTAGCAGAAGCTTTGCTTAATTTTACTCCATCAAGATCAATGGTTTACATAGATAAACTTATTTACCAAAGTAAAAAAAAACTCATGGTACTTCTAATGTAAATGGGGATTATTATAAGTTGTGGTTTATGTGTTTTCTTTATGATTACTGGTTAAGAAAGGTCCCCAAGGAACTGTACCCCTAGCCTTTAACTCAGGATTGTACAGTATGTTTGGGTCCCAAAAAAGTGACCTAAGCTAATGTTATAAACTGCTAATGATTTCTATATCACTTAGTGTAAAGGGACTGAAAATATTTATTTTGTTATAAATAATTTTATAGCTAATTTACTCTAGTGCTAGCTAATTTGTAGTAAAGCCAAGTCTCAGTTTTCTGTAATAATGGTGGGGAGACATGAAATTGATAATCCCAAATCTAATTCATATTTGGCTTTGGAATGCAGTGTATGTTTTTTGGTAGGCAAGTCAGTACTTTCAGTTATGTTTTGCTTAGATCTACATTGAACTAAGTTGGCATAGCACACACATACTAACAGTTGCAGGAGATCCATGAGCATGCTGAATATTGGGGGGATCCAATCTGTGGCATATTTTTTATTCTAGATAACTCGTTACACATAATTCCAGATAATTTGGCTATAAAATTTGTCTGTTTTTTACTTGCATTTATTTTTTAAAATTCAAAGTGAGTCACTATGCATTCTTATTTGAAAATCTCAGAGCCATTTATAACATATTATAATATAGAAACAAAACCCATAAGAGCACATAGTATCACTGCAAACAGTTATAAAAGGACTTTTTAGTTCCAACAAATATCTTAGTTACCACTTAGGTCCTTTTGGCAAATGAAAATTTGTGATTAGAGTATAAATGGCAAATCTTTCCTGGCCTTTGAATCCACTAGTACTTGACGGATATAGCTGAAACAGTGACTGCCTAAGTATATCATGCAGGTTCTTCACTAAAATATATCATTTTCATGTTATAATTATTCCTGTATGGCCTCTGTCAGAACTATTATCAGTAAGAGAAGAGGTTAAGCCTAATATGATTGATGGACCAAAATCTTGAGATTGTACATTAACTGGAATAGTATTTCATAAAACCTTATGGTGCTGTGGAAAATATTTATTATTTCAGTTTTTCTGGTACTTCACCATGGAGACTATTCAGGTAATACAGTTTTAAGTCATTGCAGTTAATACTTTGGTTAATTTGTACTGTTTATCACCCAGGTCTGGAATTCTGATTTTAGGTTATCTCATTAATCATAGCTGAGATAAAGATGCTAAGGGGATTCCCCAGAGCTGATAGCTTTTTATTAGTCATTTGTGTCTAGACA